CGCTTCTATGAACTGTACTGCTTATTTGTACCTTCCTTATTTCCATTACTGTTGTTAGTATTTCCCAAATAAAAGAATGAGAGGTGAGACTTTCTTACTGTGTTGATTGAATTATACTTTCCATTTTAATTTCCCAGATTAGCACAAAAAAGAAGTTTTTAGCCCAGTAGGCATATAGATGTTTGGTTTTTTTTCTTCCTGAAGAAGCCTATAGCTGCCTAACTGCCAGTTTAAAAAGTTGTTCCAGTTGATACTTAGGTACTTAAATAACACAAAGAGTCTTGCCCAAAGGATTAAATGTCATTCTTTTTTCAAAAGTGACTGAAGCACCAAATTCCCAGTAACTTTAATGCCTTTCTCCCTAAAGTGGTTTGAAAATCCCACTGGGACAAATCTGCTTTTTGGGTGAACAAGTTATTTTTTAAATAGGTTATTTAAGTTTTTAACTTTGTTGCTTTTGAATAGTTTTACCTTTGACCTTTGCTTGGCTAAATTAGTACAGCCCTAGAGAGAAAAACCACCCTATGCTAATTTATGCCAGAGGAAGATCTGGTCCCTCAACTGAATATTATCTGGATACAACGACTGAGAAATAAAATCATTCTTACCTGGAGCCGTTCTCCAAAAACAGGATTTTTGGGAGCCTCTTATCCTTTTCCAGAGACTCTTGTAAGCAGTTAGTTTCTCCCATGTGTACGCACATTGATGCACCCCTGTATATAGCAGCTGTGATATCTCCTTTTGGTTCCCTATCAGATAGAGAAATGATGGATAAAGATTCGTCTGAGAGCATGTGGGCAAGTATAACATTCCCTAGGTGGGTTAGACAGGCAACGCTGTGTGAAACACCTAGGGTTGCCTTCTCACACAGTGCTGTGTGCTTTGATGTGTATGTTCTTGAGGAGATGAAAGAGCTGAAAGCAGATTAAATAAATTCAGAGCCTTTCCAGGAATCTTTTTACTCTAAGCCACACAGGGTTTTTTTTCTTTGACTCTGAAGAAGGGCATGTTCTTACCTGGGAAGCCAAAATCCTTTGATAAATGTGATACAGACCAATGGCAAATAGGCAGACTCTCATCCAAAGAAAATATTTCACAAGGACCAAAGGGAGGAGATTCTGGAATAAATAGCCATCAGAAGGTACAGGTCTTTGCTGGCCTGCCTGGGCCATTGATAAGAAAGACGACCCAGGCATTAGGGGAGTAAATAATTTCAATGTATTTTTTTAACAATCTCAAAGTGAATGACGTAGCTTTTGAAAATCTAGCCTTATCTGAAAGCAGCAGGTAAGATACTAGTGGGATTTTTCAAAAGCACCTAGTTGCCTGACACCTGAAAAAGTAAAATGACTTGCTACTATTAATCTAATCTGATGGTTGACATCGGTTTTAATGTCCAGATTCTCTCTTCCTTTTCTGAACGAGCAAGCCAATTACCACAATATAAATGAAGGCAACCTAATTCTAGGTTACTGCATATTAAGTGATGTATAGTTGCAGAAATAACCTTCGGTTTTCTCCAGGGCTCTTCTGCACAGGATAAGCAAAGTACATTTAGGAGTTAAACTCACATTCCATGTCAAGGAAAATTGCTTGCCTAAGTCTGTCGTGCTCTTCAATTTTTATTTGTCATTTGTATTTTGGCAATCTGACTATGGATTCCTTACTCCTTTGGCATCCAGTGAAGTCTTTTGTGGGAACTGAGATCCTCATTTCCCTTTGTAAAGTAGCCCAGAATAAAACCTGGAATAGGGTAGGATCCAAGAAAACCCCACACAGACTTAAGAATATGCTTCCCCTTAAATGTCCATGAGATTTGTGGGCTTAAATCCTAAAGGCTCTTCTGAAATCTAGACACATGGGGCATGTCCACGCTTGCAGCAGCTCAAATAGGAGCAGCACGAACTTGAGCCAGGGATTTTTGCCTCATCGCATGTACCTGGATGTGCACTTTGGTGTGGGGCAAGTTGTGCCACTTGTGGCAAAATAAACCTGACTGGCTCCTCCTGCATCTGCAGCCAGGGGAGCTAGAGGCTGGTGCCAGCACCTGTGCTGGCCCCAGCAGTATATAAAAAGCTGCCCTGGCAAGCAGCTCAGGGCTACTTGGTCTCAGCAGCTTCTGGGCCCCGACCTATTGGTACCTGGGGACACTACCCCTGTGCCAGCTGGACTGCTGAAGCAGCCCTGAGTTCCCTGCACCCTCTACCCACTGCAACCATCTAGCAAAGCAGGCTGCTGCCAGACTGTGACCTGCTGCTACCTGTGACAGCATGTGGCCCAAAGGCTGTGCACTTGCTAGACCTGCATGGGGACTGCACGACCGCAGCACAGGCATCAGCACAGGCATCTGCACCTTTGGGCCAGCTGCCAGCGGGCTGTGGTTGCACAGTTAGCCTTTGTGTGGCACTACTGCCATGTGCGCCACCACCCAGCCATCTAGGCAGCTATCGCCCGGAAGATGTTCTCAGTGTGGTGATCTGCTTTGAACTGTCAAAGCATGTCCTCCTGGCCCCAAATGGCCAGGAAGTCAGCCATCGCATTTGCCCTCCAGCTGGGTCCTGGGTGCTAGTCCTTTGCTCATGCTAGCCCTGAGCAAACTCCTCTGCTCATTGTGGTGTTCCCTATTTAAATACTGCAAATTCTCTGATTTAAAAAAAAAATCCAAAATTCACTCTTTAAAATACCCCAAAATCCATAATTAAAATGAGAGAGAGAGAGATCAGTTGGGAGATGTTTTATTGCTATATTTACCATTTAAAAGCCTGCCAGTGTCTCTATCATAATACAATAAATTCTAAATATCTATGTTTTGATGTTTGCTTTTGGTTTCCTTATCATAGAGCCATGAGAGCTCCCCCTGACCCCTTCACTAACCAGGATGTGGGGACAGCTGCCCCTGCAGCCACAGCTCCTGCCAGCAGGTCTCATCCTGTCTGGCAGCTGGGAACGATGGGTGTGTGATGGGAGGATGTGGGATTTGCAGAAGAGGGGTGGGGGGATGATTGTGGGGGGGGACTGGGTGTGGGGGATGCT